TGTCAGCATTTTGGAAAACCCTAACTTAACTCTGGTGCCGTGTCACATATAGAAATTTTTTGATATTTGCAACCATAGTAAAACAAAGACTTATATTTTTGATATTTATTTTACATATTTAAATGCCATTTAACAAAGAAAAATCAACCAAAAAAATGAGTTCGCGTGTCACCTCTGACACGCGTGTCATAGGTTCACCATCACTGGCCTAGACCAGTGATTCCCAATGTGGGACACACGCAATTTGATGTTTCAGGGGGGGCAATTCGAGAGTGAGTTATTAACAGTGAACTTTTTGCATTTCTTATGGTCCTAGGGGCCTCATATACAGTCTGTGAATATATATTGTGACATCTTTATGCATTTCAGTTCTCTGTTACGTGTTTTGAAACTTTATCTGCTATTTTTTTCATGTCACTTCATATTGTTATTATTATTTTAAACAATTTCGTAGTGATTTCTCCCTCAGTCCTTCCACTGTCCTTTCGTTCTTTTATTTTTCTCTCTCATGGATGCCATGTTCTTTGGAAGCTTGTTTAGACCAAGTTCATGGCCTCTGAGGCTTCCTCCACATGAATAGGAGTTCACTTTTTGAATAATAAGAATTACAGGTCCTGGGGTGTATCAGGATGTTAGAGATGCTGAGGTGGGGCGTGGCCAAAGGAAGGTTGGGGACCACTAACCTAGACATCACCCCAAATAACAATGAAGTGCCATCTATTTGTTTTCTGTGCGTGTATTGGCCTGACTGGGATGATTGTGTTGACATATATTTTGTTTTGTTTCTTTATTAATGAAATAACAGTATGTATTGCCTCGCGTTGGTGGCAGCTCTCTGCGAACATCCTTTTAATCGCCGCATAAGGTCCCTTGTAACGTAGTTTATTAAAAACCCTCCTACGATCGGAGCTTTGAATTGTTTCCAATATTGAACTGAGGATCTATATACACGAAACTTTGAGGAATGTTCTCCGTTATTTCCTTAAATACTGTGATATGTAAGTAACCGTGCCCACCTCACAGAGCTAAATTGAGGATTGGGAGGTATATGCCAAAGGTACTGACCGTGCCCGTATTCATCCCGAAATCTGATGATAGGTAATACAAATTTGTTTTAATATGGACAGAATAAGAGAAAAATTAGTAAAAATGGGAAATCAGGAGATAATTCACTCTAGTAGGTATGCATGACTAGGATGTCATTTTTAGAGAGAGAAGGGAGAGAGAATCATGGATCGGCTGCCTCCTGCAAGCCCCACACTGGGGATCGAGCCCGCAACCCGGACATGTGCCCTGACCGGAAATCAAACCGTGACCTCCTGGTTCATAGGTCGACACTCAACCACTGAGCCACACCTGCCAGGCAGTCTCTCAGTTCTTGAGTATTAATGCTTAAATATTTCCTCTGTTGTACACCAAGGATGGATCCTGAAAGTCACCCAGTAGGCAGCTATCATAACAGAGTGATAGAAATTTTCTAGTAGAAAAGAATATTGTCTGTTTCATTAAAACACAACAGCAACTAAAAACAAAAGGGCCTTTAAGGTTCCCCGATGACCCCCAAAGCTCAGAGGAAAAGAGTGGTTCTGAAAAGAAGTGACCAGTTAGAATTGTTCAGCCCCAGCTGGTGTTGCCCAGTGGATAGAGCCTCGGCCTGCAGACTGAAGGGTCCCAGGTTCGATTCCGGTCAAGGGCACATGCCCAGGTTGAGGGCTCGATCCCCAGTTGGGACCATGCAGGAGGCAGCCAATCAATGATTCTCTCTCATCGTTGATGTTTCTATCTCTCTCTCTCCCTCTCCCTTCCTGTCTGAAATCAGTAAAAGTATATGGGGGGTCGGGGAGAAGAATTGTTTAGCCAAAGAGCGCATGAGATGGTGTCTGCTCTTTGGCCAAAGTTGTCAGAACAGGAATCACCTTTACTGGAAATAAGTCACCTAGTATTCTTCACAGATGTCTCCATTTAGCTGTTTAATCTGAGAGAAATGACAGATTGAAGAGCAGAGAACAAACTCTTGGTTCATCGGGTTTGGGAAAATATGAAAGATATTTCATCTCTGTTTCAGTGTTTCCATCTGATAATCCGTTGTGTACACTGTAATTTCAGGGTAATTTGAAGCATAGAAAATAGAAACTCTCACAGGTAGGTGTGCCTTGGACTGACACACCAATGGCAGCTGGCTAAGGAATTTGTTTAGAAATAATATGGCTTTTGTAGTGTCAGGCTTAATAACTGGCCCAAAATATACGTGTATGTATTTTCTCAGAGTTGCCAAAGGAAAAGGTCACGCAATTTCCATGACTGGCCGAGTAATGTACTCTATTTGGTCAGGACAGAAAACGAGGTAAGGCAGGGACAGAAATAGTTTAGAAAACCATGCATGCTTTCAACTAAGAATACCTGAAAGTAAGAAAAATAGAAGTCTTTATTTTGCTGAACTCTATTACAGTTCTATGCACTGTAAATGCAAATAGGATGTGCACACGGTCAGGGAAATGTTAGGACTAAAATGCATTGAATAAAGAACTAATCCGAATGCTTACCAGAGAACAATGAATCCATGTCTATGATTAGAAAACATATAAAAACATTTAAAAACATATAATGCCAGCCGTACCCAGTTTGGCTCAGTGGATAGAGCGTCGGCCTGTGGACCAAAGGGTCCTGGGTTCGATTCCAGTCAAGGGTATGTACCTCGGTTGCAGGCTCCTCTGGCCCGGGTGGGCTCATTCGGGAGGCAACCAATCAATGTGTCTCTCTCACATCGATGTTTCTCTCTCTTGTCTCTCCCCCTCCCTTCCACTCTCTCTAAAAATCAATGGAAAAATATCCTTGGGTGAGGATTTAAAAAATTTAAAAAAACAGACACATATAATGCCATAAAATTATTACCACCTTCATAGTGATATATTTTGGATGTAATATT